GTCACCAGCAGTGATGCGACTGCTCTATTCCGAACGGTTCTTGGCTCTCAGAAATGAGGTCATGGGACCAACAGGGCAGGCGCCCCCAGGCTCCGGAGGAGGTGACGCCCAGCTTAACTCAGCCTTTCGTCTGATTAGCAAGTACTTACTGAGCAGCTGCTTGAAGAGCATGGAGTATTCTCAGAGGAGGAGGGAATAAGCATGGAGAGTCGTGTTAGGGGCCAGGCGGGCAAAAGACCAGGGAACAATGTTAACCCAGAGGTTCAGAGATGTAAGGAAAACGAGCCGGATGCAAGCAGGTGGTCACCAATGTTTTGATTAAGATGACGCCTACAGAGTTGTTCAAAGACATTCTCAGGGCTGGGCAGTGGGAAAGGCTCCAGTGGGGCCCTGAAGGCTAAGCAGGACTTAGACGGGGGGTTAAGGGACAGCAGGGCGTCCCGGCACACGTGAAGAGCCAGCCTGCCCGGCAGCAGCTCTGCGGTTAGCAGACGGGGGACAAAGTGGCCCCGAGCTGGATGGTCAGGAGACCTGGATTCGACACGCAACTCTGCCGCTTTCTAACTGCCTGACACTTGTCTCCGGTGGCTGTATAACCATTGAGGGAAAAGAAGAAAGCAAATGGGTTACATTTTGTTCATAAAGCAAGCTGACAAGGAAAGACAAGTTCAGTGCAGTAATCGTCCAGTTTGGCTCCACATGAATTGGAAATTTTGCGGCCGTGGATTTTGACAAGCGGTGAAGTCAGGGTGCATGGTGGGCCCTGCCGCAGCCGAGAGAACCAAGAAAGATAATAAGACACAAAACCCACACCCCGGAGAGCTGCAGGGCCTTAACAGCCAAAGCAAAGCACTCAGGATTTGTTGGCCTGAATCAGGGCTTAGCAAGATTCATTCCATCAAAACACATGCAGCTCAGAGCCTCCTCTGCGTGGCTTCTGGAGGAGCGCCGACATCGCGAAATCACTTTGGTGCAAATCACCACGTGTATCCACTGTAACAGAGTATTAATACGACATGGCCAGGGAGCGAAACTGGTCGACAAAAGCTGGAGACATGGGGCTAAAAGCTCACGTTGCATTCTAACCTAGCACCGCAGGATACGAATTGAGGGCGTGCCCTCCGCCCCTCTAAATGTCCTGGGCCTGGAGCTTTGTCCAGCAATTTCATTTACATAATGTACCTACAATCATTTTCTTAAACCTCAGACCTATTTCTCTAAAGACACAGCATTATGGTTTTTGATTGTCATCTGGTGCTGTCTTGCCCCAGGGAATTACCAGAGAGCATGGTAAACAGACTCCAGTTTAAGCAGATGTTTGAGAGGAGGTGGCCCTGACCTCTCCAGGCAGGACCATGATGGAGGCTGCAGCAACTCCTCATCAGCATGGACCCCAGGCTCCGCCAAGGTCAAGATGGGCTCCTAGACACGAGAAGACTGGGCTTCGGCTGCAGCCCCTTGGGAGGTACTGTGGGGGACAGCGTTCCAGGCTCCCAGACCTGGGCTTCACTTAAGATCTCTATCACCAAAGGGTCTGGAACTAAAGAAAATGCACAGGCCCAGGCTCTCCCTGTGAGGGTGAGGACACTGTGGCCTCAAATGGACGTGCCTGCCCATGGCTGCAGGGCAGGAAAGGGCTAGGCAGGGCATGAGTCCCCGTGCAGGACAACTAATCAGTGATGTGTGCAAACCAAGTGACCGTCAGCCTCTCTGGGAGTCTTGGCATCGTGTCTGCAGGGCTGGCAGAGAAAGCCTTCTCCAGTCTTGAGAGCCTACCAGGAGTGTGGTGTTGGGGAATGGGGTGGTGGGGGGAGATAAATATTTTTTCTTTACCATGAAATCGTGCTAGTTCCTGGTCCCTGACATCAAAAGAAGTATCAGTAAATCATCGCCCAACGTGCCTGCATGCACTGCCGTGCCTGCAACATCCGGAGGCTTGTTTGCTTATTGCTCAGTACAGAATCTCCAGGCCTCCCCGCGACACTTTGAGTCAGGAGGGCTGGGGAGGACTGTTCTGCAGTTCGCTGCTAGGTTTGGAGATCAGGGTCCATGGAACCTAAGGACGCGGGGGCAAGGCTTCCCCAGAACAAGTGCTGGTCACGGTCACGGTCACGGTCACGGTCACAGGGAAGACGTGAAGTCGGGGGGGGGACGGGGAGGGAAAGAGGGAGGAAGGGGAGGGGATGGGCAGCGGAGGGAAAGGGACTCAAGGGCAGGGAAGGGAGGGCGGGGTGGGGGGACAGAACGGAGGAGGGGAGAAGCGGCACCGGGCTGGAGGCTCGCAGTACTCTGTGTGGACCAAATACAAAACACTCGGAGCTCAGGGAGGCAATGGACAAGGGCTCTGTTTGTTTCCCCTTTTTTTCAACTTTAGTCCAGTGATTCTAAACCAAGGGTCCTAAAGAAAAAGAAAAGGCGGCTTAGGGGTACTTTTCTCAGGTTTGGTAAAACAGACATTTGCTGGTGGATCAGAGAATGCAGAGGCTGAAGGAATTACTTTTTAAAGAGACAGCGAGAGGCACAGCCATCAGGGGCAGAAACGCACCATCACGGGCCACGGTGTCCCCACGGCTCCACTCACCTCTCCCGGTCCTTCTCCAGGGCTTCCTGCTCGGCCCCCGGGCTGGCCTGGAGCCCCGACTGCTCGTCACCACCACTGCCGGGCAGGGTGGCCGGCTTCAGCCTCTGCTCGTCCGTCCCCAGGCCCCGGGCAGCGCGCCTCTGCAGAGCCGAGTGCCTCCTCTCCAGCCTGGCCACGGCCTGCTCCAGGATCTCCCTCTGCTGCTTCTCCCGGGACTCCAGGATCTCCTTCTCCTTCCTCCTCACCTTCTCCTCCTGCCGGGCTATGTTGGCCGTGAACTCGAAGGTGGCCTGGAGCTTCTGCAGCTGGCTGGCGCTGGCCTGGTACCGTGCGAGCTGCTCCTCTTTTTCTTCCATCTCTTTCTCCACTTGATAGAGAGTGTTGTCTAGGCCCAGAGGACCCGCGTCAAGGATCTCCAAGGCTCTCTGCTTTTCCTCTATCAGCGTCGGCAAATGACTCTGCAGGAGGCACTGGAGCTGGCGTTCCTTGTGCTGCAGCCTGCACTCGGCCGCCTTTATGTTCTCTAAACCTTGAGCCGCCTGGGCGACGTCTGTGATGCCCACGTCACTTTTCTCCCATGACCTAAACTCTCCTTCGTTTCCAGATCTTAAGTGCTCCAGGATTTCCCTTTCCTCCTCGACCTCCTTTCGCAGGAGGTCCTTCTGCTGAGCCAGGTCCTGCTCCAGGTTGGCCAGCTTGACCAGCTGCCTCCGCTTGAACTCAAAGAACTGCAACTGCGCCCTCTCCCGGTCGTCGCCATCGTCGTCCCCCTTGGCCGGGGCCTCCCGCACATGCAGGAGGGACTCTCGGATGCGGGCCAGGTCGCCCCGCTCCTCCTCCACGCGCTGCACCTCGCCGCGCCGCAGCAGCCGCAGCCCCTCCTGCTTCTCGCGGAGCTGCTCCTCCAGGTGCGCCACCAGCAGGACCTGCCCCTTCTCCTGCTCCTCCAGCCTCCTCTTCTCCAGCTCCAGCCTGGCATGCTGGTCGTCTTTTTCCCTCTTGAGCCGGTCCAGCTCCTGAAACATCTGGGCCGTCTCGGCCCGCTCGTGGCTGTCCAGCTCCTGGGGCAGCTGGAGTTCCTCCTGGACGCGGAGCAAGCTCTCCTCTTCCTGCTTCTTTTTCTGCAGCTCGCTCTCCTGATGATCCCTCAGCCTCTCCTCCTCGAATTTCTCCTTCTCGGCCAGCAGATCCTTGAGCTTGCTCTCCAGGTGGAAGCTGCGGCGCTTGAGGCTCTCCTCCTGCTGGCGGATCTGCAGCTGGACTAGCTCTGTCTCCTTGCGCTGCGTCTCCACCTCCTGCTGCATCCGCTCCAGCGCAGCCTTATCCGACTTCTGCTTCTCCTCCATCTCTTCTATGAGTTTCCTGCAACGCAAACCATCAGCTGATCATGATTTGATCCCCAGGTTCAAATGCAGCTCTAACTTCACCCGAGACTGACACGTCCTGGAAATGGACGTTCAGCAGGAAGACAAACCCTTCGTTGAAGTAAGGAAGACGGCAAACTGCGTTCCTTCTCACACCTGGGGGCGTGGTGTGTAATTTTTCCACTCTGTTAACTGTCCAACATATCATTTACCTAATCTCCTGAAGTAGCCTCTGATACCACTTCTTTGCAGCACCTATAAGCATAATGTGTTATGCACAATATAATTTTAAAAGCCCCCTGAGCGCCAAGAGAAGGAACCGTGCCCAATTTAAATTTAAATGTGCATAATTTTATTCAGCCCAGTGGCTAAAACTCAACAGAAATTCGGTTACCAAATGACGTTAAATAAAAATGCTTATGCTGCCCTCAGCGTATCAGGGTCAAACATCAAAGTCAAGACAACCCGCCCTTCACTGCTCCAGCTCAAGTAACTACCTGCCACTGAGCATTTAATCGCTAGTTCAGGACAAGTGCTCATCGCCAAATGAGCCAAAATATTAGTTTATTGATGAATAACACTGAAAATAATGGGACTCGCCAGGGACTCTTCAACCCGTGACCTGGGAGGGTCACGTGTCATGTTGCGTTTTGGGCAGCAAACGCTCCTCACTGGGTGCTGAGTCAACGTGTCGATTCCTCAGAGCCCGGCCTCCATCTCCTCAGCCACCAAAGCTCTACCCGACATGATGCTGGGAACTGAACTCCTTCACCTGTGACATCCAGACTCCACACTCTAGGAAACACATCTGGTGTGCAGATTTCCTATGGCCTTAGTTTCTACTCTAATATCTGTCCTTGGTCCAATTCCTAGCCTGTTGATTAGGACAGGAATAAAAGAAGGATGAAACACTAATATTTTATCAAAGGATTATATTCAGAACATATTAAAAGAAAACTCTCCAAATCAATTAAATAATCAGATGCACACACACACACCCCTAAAAGAAAAGTTAAGAACACAAAGGGGTGAATTAGGGAATGGAATACAAATGGCCAGTGGCACAAGGAAAGATGTTTAAAAAGTAAGAAGGCATAAGAAAGGGGAATTCTCATTCTTCTGGCTTTTTTAAGGGTGGTAATATTAAGGAAGATATACTTTTTTAGCTAAATTTAAACAAACCCATATTTGCTGTATCAAAGTGTAATGAGTGCATTAAATTTGCCTTCTGACTCTATTCCACAACCTATCTCGCAAATATTTGAAGACGAACTATTTACAAAGTTCAAACAGGAAGCAAAATGAACTCGCTGAACACAAATGAGCTACACTCGTCAGACGTGTAAGTGATGGACGTGGACCAGGGGGCGATGACAGAAACACAGGGGAACTTGGTCCAGGACATCCACACGGGCACCCACCGCTACATGCTGCTGAGACCACACGGCTTACCTTTTACTTTCTAATTTCTCAAGTTCTTCACGCTGTTGCCGCTCAAATTCAAGCCTAATAAAATCAAATGAAAATGAGTCACTTTCATTCTATGTAGTTACATGTTACAAAGAGAATCAGTTTTTCAAGTTATGATTTTTAATCGCTATGGATTAGCACGTTTAAAATGCATTCTTTGCACTATGACTACGATTAGAAATTAGACATACTTTGGGGGTGCTTGAATTCAGGCTGAAAAGAACATATTTTACTTGAAGGAAGGCAAACAAAACACCGCCGTGTGGAAAAAGCAGGGGTAGAGGAGATTTCTAAACAAGAGCATGTCTACTCCATGCAGCCCAGCCACTGATGAGAATATAGAAATGGAGAATCTCTACCTCAGACAGATGGGTCCTTTTACAGGAAAAAGACTGCCAGGGAGGGAGGGAGAGAGAGAAAGCACAGACATCAATTAAGAAAAGAATTAACTGGGGGAACATCAGGAGAAAAGCAGTAAGGTACTTACAAGCCAAAAGCCATGCACAAATTGAAACGCCTTTTTACACGCGTCAAATTTCCCAACCATTTCTTGAAGCAAACACCCCAAAGAGTCAGCTGTTAGGTTTCACACACTTCCCACGGCAATCATAACACTAATAATAACTGGTACTAATAATGATTGCCAACAGAAGCCAAATTCACATTGTTACTGCTTGATAGATGGTTATTCTCCATGTAGGTTTCTCAAGGCCCTCCTGTAATTAGCAGTCATATGATATAGGAGTTACTGGGGGCTACAGACTGTGAACCAGCCGCCCACAGTGGTAGCAAGATAAAGGGGGCTGGGGTCACTGGGAATTCTAAAACAACTCGCTCAAATACTGATGACAGAAGCTGATTTCTTCTCGAATACTAGATTTAATTCCTTCAGGATTTCACTACTCCTATTAAACAGCATGAACTGTTAATTCTTAAACTTAGACATTTTCCTGTTGTGGATGCGGGTAGAGCTGAAAAAGGCTGAACTATGGAAAAATTCATCAGCAACTGTTTTCCTTGGGTACCGTGCGTATCCAGGTTGGCTACGGCTACCTTTACAGGGAGCTAACAAGGTTTCAAATAGATCTGTTATCAATTTAACTTGGGCTCCAATTGAGAATAAGATGTCCGGTGGCTTCTGCGAGCAGAACTGAGCGCTGTGTTGAGTGATTTACACATTTTCTTACTTTGTCTTCCCAGCAAATCCTGAAGAGAGCAAATCATATCTCCATTCTACAGATGAGGAACCCAGAGCTCAGATGTGCGGAAGAACTCGTCCAAGGTCACAACGGTCAGACGCGGGGGAGCCAGAACTTGAACCCACATGAGCCTGCTTGCAAAACAGCCTCAGTTCATTCATTTTATGAGCAGTGTTTAAGTTTGTGATATATAATAAAAGTATTAAATCCTTCATTGAAACTTGTTTAGGGTGAGATTTATCTTCTTATCAAATGAGAATAATCTGTGGACCGATGGCATTTCCATCCACGAGAAACGAATCTGATAAACACACATGAAAGGTATTTATTTGCCAGTTCCCGAGCCCCGTCCATGGGCCATTCCGCTAAGTAGGCACAGGGCTGCACTGAAGTTCATACATGATCATTCTCTTTCATGTCACAATAAACTGAACCCTGTGGATGCTTCCTAGTAGGCATTTTCAGACGTCAGAACAGTTCAGTCTTCCCAGAGATAATTACAGTAAAAAAAAAAATTACTGGATAAATCACTTTCAAAACCTGAGGGTTTTCCTAATACAACTGTCTTTACTCTCAGTTTTTATTTTCTGTGAACAGCTCAACGTGACCATCAGTAGACAATGTCGCTCTGCTCTGACAGTGTCACAGGTGCACAGTCATAAGCCAAATGCTGCCCTGAGAGGTTCGAATGAAAACCTATCACCTGAGGACAGTTTACAAGTGCAGGTGCTGGGCTGGCCACTTGGCAAGCAACACCCTCACTCTGTCCTCCCAACCCTAGTGGGTCTCATCCCCACTTTATAAAACAGGACACTGAGGCTGACAGCCAGTCACGAGCGGGTGGGGGAGGCGGGGCTCAAATCAGTGTGGCACTAAAATCTGTGCTGCTAACCACTGCAACTGTTGCTAGCGAGCTGTGTGGCCTCAGAAGGCCATAAAATGTGAGTTTTGATATTTTCATCTCTAGTGGGACACTCAGCACCTACGTCTTTTATCCAGCACAGTGACAGGTGCTGTGCTAGGCACAGGGAATCCAGCAGGCAGTGAGGGAGATGTGGTCGCTGCCCCTGCAGGGCTCCTAGTCTGGAAGTGACAGCTGAATAAATGCAGGGGTGCGTCACGAGCCACGACTGCCGAAGGACATGATGTTATAACATAAGGAGTGGGTGCTGGTCTCGGGATCTGGCAGCACCCAGAATCAAGGCAAGCGCCCCAGGGAAGCTTCTGTCTAAGCTGCGCCCTTCCTCCTCGTGCACGACGACGTGGAAACTCAACGGGACAACAGAAGCCTTGGAAGTGCCAACTCTGAACTTGAAAGTAATGGTGGCAGCAAAATGTCTTGGAACGCAGTTGTCGAAGAGCAGAGAGAACAGAAGAGGAGGTGGGGTGTGGGAACTGATAAGGACAAGCAGAAAGACATGGCTGCACATCATTCGAGCTTGGAGACTGTCGGTTTACAGAGGCCCCCCCACCCCGGTCCCTGTGAGCACGTTGCTTTCTTTGTAGCTTTGAGCTGAGATGCCCAGATGCAAGTTCAGGGCAGCGAGACAGTTCAATGATTCCAGCAGGTTCCTGGCAAACGGGAAAACCAAAGGACCACTTGAGGATTTGGGGAGAGGCTGGTGTAAGTGCTGGTGATGAAGACTTGATTGGACTGGACAGTAAGTGGGGGGAAGACAAGGCTTCCAGGCGGAAATAAGAAAGCAAAGACATTTCCAGGCTGGAGAAGTGAGTGCTACTTAAGTAACTAGATGGTAGAACGTGTTATCCCCTGGAACCACCGAGATAACAGCAGGGCTCAGGAAGACCAAGGTGAGGCTTAGAAGGAAATGCCAGGAAGGCAGCAGAGGACAGCAGTGAGGAGGGGCAAAGACACTGGAAATGAACTGATCCGGACTGCTCTGCAGGGCAGACGGGCGGTCCTGGTAGGGGATGCCTAACAGCCTGGGCTGATGAGACCACTGGTCCTAATGAAGAAGAATGAATTCATTTCTGTGACCTGCTTCTAAATAGGAAAAAAAAAAGTTTGATTGCTTTCTACTGAAAGCAGGATGTCTTTGGTAAATAATGATCCCCATTTCCTCAAAAATAAGAGTTAAAAAAATAATTAAGATGCTCAGTCTTAACTTAAAGTTCCAAACAGTCTGAGGAGCATCGTAATTACACAGTAGGGATCTGTATTTTAAACGTGAGCTGATATCAGCTGTTGTTGGTACAGTTTAGCCTCTGTTAAATATCACCTGTTTACTAATCATACTTTAAAACGCACCTCTTTCCACAATCAGTGATGATTATTTCAGATAGCAAACCTCAACAGACTGTAAAATATAAACGTGAGTGTGTTAATATCCAGGAAAAATACCAACTGTGATTGTATTTTAATGGGGCTACATTGTAAATAACCGTAATTCACTGTCTTACTTTACTGAAATTATCTTGGCCCCAAATGCTAATTTCCTAAATGTTATAATTAAAAGGAAAACCAGAAAAAGGATACAAGTTTTGCAGCTGTTTTTTAGCATTTTTAAATGACAGTTGGAAGTATATACACTGTGTTAGGTCCAACAAAAAATGCGTAGCACACAATCTATTTTTATGAGAAACAGCACCCCCCCTTTTTTTTTGCATTGAAAGGCACCTAACATTTTTAGGTATAACTGCACGCCTTGCAATTTATATTCCTGTTGTCATCAGCAACAAAAAAGCAAGAGGGTGGGAATTTCTCAGTTCGCACCATTACGTTGAAAGTGAGACTGTGATTATCAAAAAAAGGAAAGAAAAAAAAAGAAATTTTAATGAATGGAAAAGCATGCACTTTGAGTCCCTGTGTTGTCCCAGTGGTGATTAGGTTTGTACCGCCGATGTTTCACTTTCTAAACGGAGGAATGTGGCCACTCAAGTCCAGCCGACACTTGACCTGGCAGCTGCAGGGCGGGGTGAACAGGGTGTGGAAGCTGAGGGCCAGATCCCAGCTGAAGGGGGCTCTCACCTGACTACGGAGCTGAGCTAGGGGGAGGTGGCCCCTGCACGGAGGGTTTCAGTAGGTATGTGCACAGGTAAGGGAAAGGCCCTTGGTCAGTGGGGAGGACTTTCAGGTTATCATCAAACCCAGAGATGACTCCGTGGGTGTGTGACAATGCACAGGGCCTGCGTTCATGCGATGCTGTACTGCTGGAACCTTGAAATTCTTAGTATTTGAACAAGGGGGCCCCCATTTTCATTATGCACTGAGCCCTGCAAATTATGCACCTGGTTCTGAGCAAGTACATGCCATTTTTCAAAGCATCCCCGGCCTGTTGCCCGGAATGGCTGGCGGTATTCTGGTCAGGGACGGACGGAAGGGAGCTAGAACAGACTAGAACTCAGTCTAGATGGTTCACTTCTCCTGGAGCCTTCACAAGAGGTTAGGTTTTTACCACAGTGGGTCTGTAATCACTTGGACCAGAACAGCCGACCTTCTCACCACTCTCACCATCCTTGAGAACTTCTTACAGCCAGTCTCAAACCACCGGACGAAGAGCAAACCCCGAGGAGACCAGCGGGTCCTGAAGACTAAAGAGAGGGTCTGGAGTTGGGTGCTGGAGTTTCTGCAGGTCCTGTCCCGTCGTGCCCTGACCTTGAGAACCTTGTCATTCTAGATGTTCCTTAAAGGCTGAGCTGAAATCAGACACTATGCCAAGTAGGCAGAGGGAACCTCATGAAAGGAAGACCCCGGCCATTCACCCAGACTCTGGCTCTTCATGGGCCGGCCCTGCAGGCTCCCTGCATGTGTCAGGGCTCACGTAGGCTCTCCCTAGCGAGCTAAGAACAGCTGCTTTATAGAGTATCCCAGTCTCCCTACTTCCCCCTAAATCACCGTGGACAGCCCCGATACAACTGCGATTCGAAGTGCGCATACCTAGATGAGGGGCTCACCATGCAATCCGATCCAGGAAGTTAAGCCCCTTTTAAGTAAAAGTCAGAGTTTATAACACAAATATCCCTAGCAGTCTGCGGGTGGTTTTCTAATGAACTTTCAAATCCCTGGTCTAGAAAGTACCCAGGGAAGACTTCCCAGGAGCCAGCCGTAAGCCTTTTGTAAGCAAAAGGAAAGTGCTTGAAGAAACAAAGATTACCAGCCACCCTCCTGCCCCCCCACCCCCCTCTACTTTCCAGCTCAGAGACTGAGGCACAGAGCGCCTTAGGGAGAGTGG